AAGAGAAAAGAGGAAAATAAAATCTCAAAGCAAGATACAAGGGTTGTTTCTGTTGGAGATCAGCATCTTTCCTGCTTCCCTTCTCATCCAATAGGTAGGGTTGTCTGTTGTTTGCTGGTATCTCCACTCAGGATGGTGAAGGTTATTAGGGTGGGAGGGTTGGTCTAGGGGGCAGAGCTCCTGGAGGTGGGATATAGAACTTGCTGTTCCCCAGTGTGAGACTTCAACCCAAGGATCTCCTTTGGGGCCTGCTCATGTGATGTAGTGCCTGGTCTTATCTCCTTATATCACCTGCAGACCTCACAATTCCTGGTCTCTTTTTTAGTCTCTAAACTGTGTCTCACTCATCTCCTCCCTTTCTACTTCCCAATCAGGAAATTTTCTCTCCCAAGATCTTGTGGGCTGTGCTCTGAGGGTTGTTCACTGTGGTGGAGAGCTGTTTTGTATTGGTCAGTTCAGGACCAGGTTTTGCAAGCTATAGACCAGACTGGCCATGTAGCTGTAAGCACTGTGCCAAGTTGATGGCTGCCTGGGAGAGGGGGGAGTTGGGGACTATAGGTTCCTTGATATTGCTTCTAAGCCCCAGCCTGTGTCTCAAGCTGGGAGTTGCCCCAACTAAAGATAGCCACAAAAGTGTTCCAAGATGGAGACAGCTGCTTTTAGTGATGAGGTATCTGGTTGGGTGGGACAGGGTGGTGGTGGTGGATGGCATGTTCAGAGATGCAGCTCTGTGGCATGCTGTGTTGTGGCTGGAGGCTGTCTCCAGACCCTGTGGGGTGTCCCCTGGTGCAGGCTACCACGTGTAGTGGACTATGGCAGTGGTTTCACCTTGTCCCAAGATGGAGGCAACTGAGGGAGACCCACATTGGTAGATGGGGGTCCACAAGTGAGTGGCAGCTGGAGGTCCTGCATGTGAGCAGCAGCCAGGGTTCCTGTGTGGGTGGGTGGCCAGGAGTCCTGTACTGACACGGAGACCTCCAATGGTGATGACGCAGCGGCTGTGATTCTTGTGCAGGAACAGTTGTTGAGGGTCCTCTGGTAACTCACAGAGAAATAGTATTTCCACTAGTTGAATCCCAGGACACGGAAGCAACACAGAATGCAGCCTCCCTTTAGCCCGCCATCTTGGATCCTTCTCTAGATTTTTTTTTTAACCTACTGAGCATGTGGAAGACTGTCAAAAGACACTTCTTTTTCTACAATTTATTTTTTCTTTTAAAATAAAAATTTCAGAACATCTGAAACGATCACCCCTATTTCACAACATTCATGTAACTATTTAAATTTTTGCAAGTTGTTTTCAGTTCTTATTTGTAAATTCATAGTTTATAAGGCTGGTATTTTTGGAATTTGCTTACTCATTCCATCATAAAAAATAATCAATAAAACACCTGCTGTTTGTCACACACCAAACTAGATCCTGGGAATTAAACAGAGGGGTATGATAATTAACTTTAGTTATTGACTTGACTAGATTAAGGGATACCTAGAGAGCTAGCAAAGCATTATTTCTGGGTAAGTCTACAAGGGTATTTCCAGATTAAGACTGGCATTTGAATTTGTGGACTGAGTGGTAAAGATCCACTCTTGATGTATGTAGGCACCACTGGGGACCAGGAGAGAACAAAGAGTCAGAGGAAAGACAAATTTTCTCTTCCTCTCTTCTTCTGAAACTGCTGCCCTTCTTCTCCTGTCCTATGACATCAGAACTCCTGTTCTTTGGACTCTAGGGCTTGCATCAGAGGCCTCCTAGGGTCTCTTAGGCCTTAGACCTTCAACTGAAAGTTTATGATGAGCTCCCCTGGTTCAGAGGCCTTTGAGTTTTTGCTAAACCATGTTACTGGCCTCCCTAGGTCTCCTGCTTATAGATGGCTTTTCTATGACTTCTCAGTCTCCATCAATGCTTGAGCCAGTTCCCTTAATTCAGTCCCTCTCAGCATGCACACCCTCTAGGTAAATAGTTAGATAAATAGATATTGATTTATTTACCTAGAGCGAGAGCCTCTGTATATGTGTCTCTGAAGAGCTATGGTTAATGCAGTGTCCCAAAATGAATTCAGTTCCTGTTTTCCTGGAGCTTATGACTTGTGGAAGAAACTGATAGTTATCAAATATTCATAAATAAATAGAAATAGAAAACTACCTTTTTACCAAATTATCATTTGATAAGGATTACATGGCTATAGATATAATCAGAAATTTTTTTAATAAGTGAATATATTAGAAACATTGAAGGAAGGATAATTCAAACACAGCAGGATTCAAGTGGAAACAAAGCATTTCAGGAGAGAGAAATATTTCAAAGGTCCATTGCATAAAAATGGATAGAAGTGTGAAGACATAGTGCAAATGAAAAAAATTCAATTTATATGTTCATCTTTCTTCATAGCAGGAAGGAAGGTATTCTTCCATTATTTCTTTGATTAGTGCTTCTTTCCCAATTCTGATTTTTCTCAAGAATATCAGATTTCTTAAGTTGATGCTTTAATTTCTCTTCTAACTTCTTTCTTCATGCTCTGTGTCTATCTTTATCTTCTACAGTTTCAGAGAATTTCAAATATAACTTCATCATCAATTATTTGATTTTTTTGTTCATCATCCACTATGTTCACTATATATTTAAATGACACACTTACCTTATTTTACTTCCTTGAAAACTTTCCTTATTTATCTCTCTACCAAATTTATGGTCTTTTCCCCACTAGGGTTTATATTTCTATTTTAAAAATGTCATTGAATTAAGGATTAGCATTTATTCTGGATTCTTGGATTCTGTAGTAGATCAAATAAAATGAGATATTTTTAATGTTCATTTTCCTTTATTGCATATATCACATTCATTAAGTTGAAATGTACAATTTATAAAAATTTATAAATAAAAAATTTTATAAAATTATAATTTTTATTATTTAAATTTTAATGTTCTTTATCCCATTTAAAGTGTAAAATAATAAAGGAATGTCCTCTTTTGTTTTTACTTATTCTTGAATTTCATTTGGTCTGATAAATAGTTGACATTCAATAATTATTAAGTAAATATTCCAAGATGTTGCCCTTTATTTGCTATACTATATTTGAAAAATATCTCCATATTTTTTTCTTTTTACTAAGACTTATTATACTGTACCCACCAATATAAGACTTGTTATATTGCACCCACTAAAATGTGGGTTTTTTTTTTCCAAATTTCTACTTAATAAATCTTTTCTCAGTTTTGCAGTCTGCAGACAGATAAATAGATATAAATTTGAGACCAATTCTTAGATTCTAGCAAACACTCATGTCATCTGATATTTTACGGGAAGCCACCTGTGAACTGTGTGAGAACTAAAACCAGCATCAAAGCCATTGAGTGGGAAAGTCTAGTATCTGGGCACTCACAGCGGCATTCCTGCTGTCTGAGAGTGCCTGGTACATGTGACATTCTGCCTAGCCCTGTAAGGTTCTACAGAGCACCACAGATAGGGTGACCTGCTGCAGCCACATAGACACACAGCCTCTCAGAGATTGGTGTGGCCTGCCAAGAAGTTTGCTGCAAGTCCCCTGCCACACCCAGAAGGAAGCCTCCTCCCTCTGAAACCTCATCCCTGCCTTTGATGTACTCCCTTAAATAAAGGACCTGAGCCATTTCCTAGTTCATTCTGTTCCAGCTCCTATGTGGACTGGAAGAAACTATCAGACTCTCCACTTCCCCTTTAAAACTGTTTCCTGGCTCTGACTCTTTATCTTCACTATTTCAGATTCTTATTTTTCTCAGGTCGCTTATCCCCTCTTGAGCAAGAAACTGCCCTGGTGGGGTGCTGGTTACTCCACAACAATATTTGTGTTGTATGATACATCTTCTCCTTCCATGTGCTTTGTCTTCTGTTTATCAGGAGCTGCTCTTATTACAAATTGAAGTTAAAAGATTAAAAGGGAACGTCCAGACTGCATCAGATGTTATGAATAAGAATCTTTGGAGCAAGTGTATGACTATATATGTTTTTTTAATTCACAGGTGTTTTTAAGGCAAACAAAAAACTTTTAACCAATGACAATTTTTAAAAACTACAATCTGTCTCTAGCATTCAATCTACTACAGCCAATGTCACCAGAACACACAATATTCAAGGATTTGTTCTCATTCATTTTACTTCTTGGTTTGCTTGTAGAAAAGTGAAATATAATTTTTTGTGCATCAGAAACAACTAAAAGAACAAACAAAAATCCATGTAAAAATGGTGATAGCTTATATGTTATCTGGAAGACTTCACTTCTGCCAGAAAATAAAGATAGGTGAATGAAGACATACCTGTTAAACAGTCTTTACTTTCTCAAGTCAGTTTTTCTTACTCAATTTCTATGGACTCAGTAGCAACTTCCATTCTGTCATATGTTTTCTGACAATTATAGCTTGCAAATTTTTAATATCTCTATTTTCAGCAGTATTTTATTGGGGAATAGGAAGAAGATGCATCAGGATTGTTCATCAAACACAATTTCAAATTTTTAATTAATGAAGTCTGTGAAATATATGACTTAACATGAATAGCAATTGTCATGATTGCATAAATCCTTCATCAGGCTAGACTTTAGCCTTGGGTGACATCATCCAAACTGTTGTTATTTTTTTTTAAATACCAGGTTTTTCTCCTTATTGAGGCTACTAATTTCTTTCCTCTTTTTTCACCTCTACACATTTTCTAGCCACTTGATTTATTGAGAGTTACAATTAACTGAGTGAATACATTTTGTTCTATTGTATACTAACTGAACCTTTTACTTTAAATCTATATGGATCATATATTCTAATCTTAACTACGAATGCATACCTATATCCTAATTGTGAGTCCTTACATTGCTTTTTATTTACAGTTTGTTTCAAATTCATATACTTATTCAATTTTACATTATAGGTAGAGTGCAGGAATTCTCAGTGAAAGAACCAGAAACTCAAAAATAGCATCTTACTGCATCAATAAAGTATTTTGGAAAATCAGCAGAAGTATCTTTTTCTTCCCTTAATTGTGTGTTTCCTTGACTACTCCAGAAGGTGCAACACATCCATTGTTATTTAAAGGTTCTAAATTTGGTTCTTCAGTGATTTTTTCTCTGTTTTCTGATGCCTTGGTATCTTTTCCTTCATATTTTTTCTTCATGGCATAAATTAATACAATATATAAAATAAGTGCTAGAACTTTTAACAGTATTATCAAGCCCATGTAGACGTATCTATGAAAAGAGATAGAAAAGATTCGATTATCATTTTACATTTACAAAATAACATATTTCTCTCTAGAATGCAGGCTTTACTGGAAAAAAATTTCTTTGAAATTATGTATAAAATTACAAAGGTAACAATTGTAGTGACCCTTTCATTGGGGTATTTTGGAAGGAAGAAAAACATCCAAATCTATATCCCCTAAAACCATTCTGTCCCACCTAAGAGATGGGGGAGGTACTAACAAATATGCTCGAAGTTCACAATTCAAAGATCCAGACCCACTAAAAAACTGGAACTTCTTCATAGCACTGTGAAATGCACCCCTTCTCCTGTACCTTATACCATATTCCTAAAGAATTATTTACATAGTCTCTTTTACCTAACGAGTTATGTTTAGCTGTCAAGAAAAAAAATCAGAAGTCTATACTAAAGGCAAAAACAATTTGAAGAACATGAGAAAGACTAAAAACTAGCCATAGATTGTCAGGGATGTTGGAATTGTCAGAATGGGAATTTGAGATAACTATGATTAACTTGCTATGGAGTCTAATAGATAAAGTAGCAGAATGCAGAAATAGATGGGTGATTCATGCAGAGTGATGGAAATTCTCCTAAAACCAAAGGGGAAAAATGCTAGAGGTCAAAAATTCTGAAACAGAAATGAAAAATATCTTTGATGAAACAGCTGAGACAAGAAATTCTGAGTTTGAAGGTACTTCAAAAGAAACTGAAAAAGGAAAGAGAAAAAAGATGAAAAAAAAAAAGTCCTAGAATATCCAAGAACTTTCACCACTTCTATTCAACATAGTCCTTGAAATTAGCCATAGCAATTAGAAGAAATAAATTAAAGGGAAAATACTAGAAAAAGAAGAACTCAAACTATCCCTATTTGCCAGTTACATGATTCTATATTTAGAAGACCCAAAAAATTCCACCAGAAAACTTCTAGAACTCATAAGTGAATTCAGTAAAGTAGCGGGATATAAAATTAACACCCATTAATCAATTGTGTTCCTATACATCAGTGGTGAATCAAATAAAAGAGAAATTAGGAAAACTATCCCATTCACTATAACCTCAAAGAAAATAAAATAATTGGTAATCAATTTAACAGAGGATGAAAGACCTCTACAAAGAAAACTACAGATCACTAATTAAAGAAATTGAAGAAGACCTTAGATAGGCAGAATTAATATTGTCAAAATGGCCATACTACCAAAAGTACTATACAGATTTAATGCAATTCTTATTAAGGCTATGATGATGTTCTTAATAAAAATAGAAAAAGCAGTCATGAAATTCTTCTGGAAAAATAGGAGACCCAGAATAGCTAAAGCAATCCTTAGTAAGGAGAGTGAAGCAGTTGGCATCACTATACCTGAACTTAAACTATACTACAGAGCAGTAGTAACAAAAACAGCATGGTATTGGCAGAAAAATAGACTTATAGACCAATGGTACAGAATAGACAGAGACACAGAGACAGACCCACATAACTACAGTTATCTCATACTAGACAAATGCATCACAAACATATAATGGAGAAAAGATAGCCTCTTCAATAAACAGTGCTTGGAAAAATGGAAATCCATATGTAGCAATATGAAATTAAACCCCTAGGCTTTAGACCAGAGTCCCTGTGCTACTAGAAGGAAAAGTAGGCCCAACTCTCCACCGTGTAGGCTTAGGAACTGACTTTTCAACAAGAGTCCTAAAACACAAGAAGTAAAATCAAGAATCAATAAACCAGATGGTATCAACCAAAAAGCTTCTTCACAATAAAGGATACAATAAAAAATGAGAAGAGAGAGCCTATAGAATGTGAGAAAATCTTTGTCACCTTCACCTCAGATAGAGCATTAATCTCTAGGATATATCAAGAAATCAAAAAACTTAATACCCCCCCCCAAAAAAAAAAAAAACCCACAAATAACCTAATCATTTAATGGGTTAAGGAACTGAACAGACATTTCAAGTAAGAAATACAATCAGCCAACAAATATATGAAAAAAATGTTCAACATATCTAGCAATCTAGAGAAATGCAAATTCAAACTACACTTGAGATTTCATCTCACTCCAGTCAAATGGCAGTTATCAAGAATACAAGTAATAATAAATATTGGCAAGGAAAATGTGGGAAACAAGGTTCACTGATATATTGCTATTGGGAATGCAAATTGGTGCAACCACTGTGGAAAGTAGTATGGAGATTCCTCATTAAACTTGGAATGTAATCATCATTTAACCACTCCTTGGCATGTACCCAAAGGACTTAAAATTAGCATCCTCTAGTGACACAGCCACATCAATTTTATAGCAGCTCAACTCACAATAGCTAAGCTATTGAACCAACCTAGATGCCCCTCAATAGATAAATAGATAAAGAAACTATGGTATATATACACATGGAATATTACTGAGCTATAATAAATAATGATCTTATGGCATTTGCCAGTAAATGGATGGAACTGAAGATTATCATGGTAAGTGAAATAAGCCAATCTCAAAAAACCTAAGGCCAAATGCTCTCTCTGATACGCAGATGCTGACTCATAATAGGTGGGATAGAGGGAGGGGAGGACATTTACTAGATTGGACATGAGGAATTGGAGAAACGGAGGTGGGATGGCAGTGGGAAAGACAGTAGAATGAATTGGACATAACATCCTATGTTCACATATGAATACATGACCAGTGTAACTCCACATCATGAACAACCCCAAGAATGGGAAGTTATACTCCACATATATACAATATATCAAAATACATTCTACTGTCATGTATAACTAAAAATAACAAATAAAAAATTTTTTAAAAAGAACCTTGGAACAACTATATAAATATATATAATGGGAATACTAGATGGAGAAGAGAAAGAAAAAATAGTTTGAAACCATAATGACTTATGATTTTCCTAAATTATTGTCAGACACTAAACTACAGATCAACTAAGCTCAGAGAACACCAAAAATTTAAATAAACTATAGCTAATTATAACATTTTTGAATTACAGAAAGTCAAATAAAATATCCTGAAAGAAAACAGGGGGAAAACCACTTACCTATAGAGGAGTAAAGATTACTTTTGACTTTTATTCAGAAACCATGTGAGAAAGGAGAAATGAAGTGAAATATTCAAAGTATTGGGCAGAAAAAAAATTCATCCATTTAAAATTCATCAAAATAAAATTTTAGATATCCCTATCTCAAAAAAATACATAGAAGTAAAGACATTCCAGACAAAAGTTTATAGAATGTGCTGCTAATAGACCTGCCTTGCAAAAATATTAAATAAGTTCTTTTTTTAAAAAGAAATAGCTATTTATTTTATTTTGTTATACATAACAGCAGAAAGCATTTTAATTCATAGTACACACAAAGAGAACAATTTTTCATTTCTCTGGTTGTACACAAAGTAGAGTAACACCATTTGTGACTTCATACATGCACCTAGGGTAATGATGTCCATCTCATCCCACCCTCTTTCCTATCCCCATGCATCCTCCCTTCCCTTCTCTCTCCTTTGTCTCATCCAAAATTCCTCCCAAGCTCTCCCTGTCACCTATTATGGGTCAGCAACTACTTATCAGAGAAAACATTCAGCATTTGTTTTTTTGGAATTGGCTTAATTCACTTAGCATAATACTCTCCAACTCCATCTATTTACCAGCAAATGCCATGATTTTATTCTCTTTTAATGCTGAGTAACATTCCATTGTGTATATATACCACAGTTTTTTTATCCATTCATCTATTGAAAGGCATCTAGGTTGGTTCCACAATTAAATAAGTTCTTCTTTGAGAAGGAAAATTATATAAGGTAGTTCTTTACTATGATGGTTTGGCTTACTATTTTTCAACTTTTCAATAATGTTAGAGCAATATGTATTCAGTAGAAATCACATTTTGAAGTTTTATCTCCTCTTGAGCCAGTGATATGTGGTATGATACTATCTTATGATGCTGAACAGCAGCAGTAAGCTGTTGCTTCTGGTCAGCCCACAATTATCAGAGTAGACAACCAAAACTAGACAGTGTACTATGTTGCTAGTATTCTTTGGTTATTCCATTTTGTGTTTTAACATCCCCTCATGGCTACAAAAAGACCATCTGTGTACATACATGAGATATTCAATATTTTATATAAAATGGGTTCGGTAATAAATAATTCTGCTCATCTGTAGGCTAATGTAAGTGTTCTCAGAACCTTTAAGGTAAGCTGGGCTAAGCTATGATGTCTTGGATATTGGATAAGATGTATTAAATGCATTTGCAACTTACAATATTTTCAATTTACAATGAACTCCATTGTAAGTCAAGGCATATCTAAAGATCAGAAACTTGGGTAGATATAAAGAAAGAAAGCATCAGAAAAAAAATGTAAAAGAAAAACTTTTTTCTTTTTCTTATTCTTAATTGATCTAACAGATAACAGCTTATTCAAAATAGTAGAAACAATGTATTTGATTTTATATGGAATATATACATGCATACATATGCTCATGCATGCTTATATGTAAGCAAAATGAATGAAAGCTTTCCACTGAGTCAGGAATAAGGAAAGTGAGTTCCCTCTCCACTGCTTTTCAATCTTATATTGGAAGGTCTAGTTAATGTAAACAAACCAAACCAAACAAAAGCAGCAAATAAAGTGTATACAGATTGAGAAGAAAGAAAAAAATATTTGAGATGACATGGTTATTTATGTAGAAAGTCTTAAAGAATAGATATAAACTCTCCTGAAGTAATAAATGATTATAGTAAGGTTATAGGATACATCATTAATATGCCAATATTTTTCTACATACCATGTTAGAAATTTAAAACATGTTACCACTTATATAAGCAGTTCCAAAATGAAATACTAGTGCAAACCTAATGAAGTGTATAAAAAATCTGTATGAAGAAAACTATAAAACCCTAATGAAGGAAATAGATGAACTAAATAAATGGGGAGATATCCTATGTTCTTGTACAAGAACGCTCAATATTGTCAAGATGCCTAATTCTCCCGATTTATTCCATAGACTCAAGACAAACCCATCAAATTCCCAGTGAACTACTTTGTGGATGTCAACAAATTAATTTCTAAATTTGTAGAGGGGCAAAAACCCAGAATAGCCAAAACAATACTGAAGAACAAAGTTGTAGGGCTGACAATACCTGACTTCAAGACTTACCATAAAGCTACAGGAATCAAGACAGTGTGGTACTGGTGAAAGAATAGATAAATCAAAGGAATAGAGAGCTCAGAAAAGGACAACTGATCTTTAACAAAGGAACAAAGGCATTATAATAGAATGAAGACAGTCTTTTCAACAAATAGTACTAGACCAACTGAACATCCAAAAGAGAAATAATAAATGTAGGCACAAATAATGGTTTTAAGAACTCTTTATATATTTAGGTCATTTTCTTGTGTCTTTGTTACAAGTTGCAATTTTTTAAAAATTAATCTTTTTTTCTTTGAACTTTGCTAAAATAAGTTTTCTTATGCAGAGTTTTAAAAATATTTCATCTTTTTTTCTCTTATGGTTTTTGAAGTTTGGGTCATACTTAGGACATACTCCAGCTTCACATATAATTTTAACGTAAATTACAATGAGTTCTTCTAATACTTGTAGTTTTTAATTAGAAAATATGTAAATTTGCAACTAATTTTATTTAAGGCTTAAGATATCATTGCAAGGGACTGGGTTTGTGGTTCAGTGGTAGAGTGCTTGCCTAGCACACATGCAGCACTGGGTTCGATCCTCATCACCACAAAAAAATAAAAATAAAAATAAATAAAATAAAGTTATGGTGTCCATGTACAACTAAAAATATGAAAAACATAAAGATATAATTGCAAGGTTTTTTCCCACATTATCATTTCAGTTTTTTTCTTATAGCACTTACAAAATTTCTCTCCCAATGTATAGAAGACTATAGAGACATTTTTCCTCTTTTTTCCCCCTAGGCATGAACAGAACCCCAGTTCTCCATTATATGTCTTCCTACAGAATCCAAATACAATGAAATACATATTTTCCCCCAAAAAAGATTTTTAAATAACAAAACATATGCAAAAATCTTAGCTTTTGGACATGTTACTTTTTACTCTCGAATCTTAAATTCTTCATATTTAAGGGTAAAAATATAAAACGTCAATTTCCTACAGTTCTTATGAACATTAAAAAGACAAACTAGGTTGGCTGATACAATACAGAAGACAATGTAAGTGTTCATTAAATTATGGTTCATTTAATTATTAATTTATTAATATACTGAAAATTACATACTAATATAGTCAAAGGAAAAGTCATGAAATATATATATATGACAACTTACCCAAATAATACAGAATTATATACCCTACAGCTCCCTTGTGCTCCACAGCTGTTGATGGACCACTTCAAACATGTTTTATCAATCAGGGCCCCAAAATATACTGGAGCTAACATTCCTCCTGCAACATCATATGAGAAGCTATCAATTCAAGGAATACATTTCAAATGTAGCCATATGGTACTCTACATTGATTCATTTTGGACTAAGTAAACGTTAAAAAAAATTGTAGGACTCTTCCATCAATTTGGTCTAAATATATGCAAGAATCAAGATTTTATTAGGAATCTCAAAGAGTCACACTATAAAGTAACATAGTAGACATCTTTTATCTGCCCTCACCCTCCCAACATACAATAAAAAAGAAGGAACATTATCCATCTGCAAACTGTTCTTATAATATCAATCAACTGATATCTGATAAAGGAGAGAGGTTGTTAGTAATGTTGGTTCATATGTAATTTTTCTTAGGCAAAAACTGCTGAAACAGTGGAAACAGAATTGATTTTCCAATTTTAGAGTCTGAGTTCATTCCCTTTTGGATTTTTAACATCTGGTCAAAGTTGGCTGCCCAGCCTTACAGACCTATACAATTAATGTGAATTTCTGTTGTTTCACACAAACTCAGCTTAGCCAAATTCCCAGAACTCTTAAGCTGCTTTAGGCATTACCTATATCATATTTAGAAGAAAGATCCTCCACTCTGCCTACCTGGAAGAAATATTTCTAGGCAGCAAAGCTTTGGGAACTGCTTACCTTTGTTTCATACTGTGCGAAACAAATATAACTCCTTGTTCTTAACAGATTAACTTTAACTAGAATCAGTAATCAATTTATCATTTAGATCATTTGGCTTTCCTCTATCTCTTAGTCTTTTAATTTACCACAAAAATAGAAATGAGTCCTACTTTCTTATAATTGCAAATTAATTACTTTCAGTTTTTGAATTTTTACACAAATTCTGAATTTAATATATTTCTCATACCTAGTGTTCGTATAATCAGTGAATGGCAACCCATTGCAAGTGATTTCAATTCAGGTGGAACATTTCTGAAATAAGATAAAGACAAAGAAACATTAAAATCTTTAAAATACCAAATTGAGTTCAATATAAATGTTTCTCAGTGCAGTTTTCTTTACAGTTAAATGAAAACCCTCAAGTGAATGGCCCTATTTATATCATGTACTATTATATTTTCAATCTTTTAAGGCAAACTCCTAGGTGATAATAATTGTTATTCCCTAATTATTTAATATTTTATGACTTGAAGACAGTTTGTCAAACAGTTTTACATTCAATCCTTATGAAATTCCTGTGAGAAAGTGGTAGTAAAAGTAACATTAGGATGCCCACGAAGACGATCTTTAACAGGGTCTATTCAGTCAACACAGCCCAGAGGAAAAGAGCAGATCCTTTTATCTAGGTTACCTGGGTACAAGTAGGAGACCTCTTTTGCCTCTTATTTATGTCATTAATATTAACAGAAAATTTTACTAATATATTTCACAAATTATGTATGCAGCCAGAAGAGTAAAAAAAATTATCTGTATTCCAGTGTCTAGTGTATTTAACTATCATCTTAAAAGCAGAGGGAACATTTGTATCCTAGGTTAGAATTTCACTTGCTCTTGCATTTAGAAAGTTATTTCCACAATTCCATTGATCTGTGTTCAGTGAGCTGTTGATACCATCATCCATGATAACATAATATACATTAAATAAGACAGCACTAAGTGGTGGGCTGAGTTGGGAGAAGTGAGGATATTTCAAAAATCCCACTTTAAACTGAAATATTGAATTGAATAATAAAAAATTGAATTCTTTGCCTTGAGTTATTTGTTCCAAGAGCTAAGTAGACATGATCATTTAACAAACATTAAGCACCTCCCAGGGATGTCACGTTAGTAGTACTTGTTCAGGAGAATAGAGAGATAAATGATATTTCATGTCAACTAAGTAACCTGGAGAAATCATTTAACCTTTCTTTTGGATAATAGTGCTTATGTGCTGTGAGAATCTTGTAATACAATGAACTAGCCCTTTGAACCTCAATTTTTTTCACATATACTGTCCTCTTAATCCATACGAGAGAGCTACTATTTGTTGAGCTTCTCAAAGTATTAGAGAAAACTGGGTGTAGTGGCATACACCTATAGTCGTATCTGCTCAGGAGGTTGGGGCAGGAGCATTGCTTGAGCCCAGGAGATGAAGACCAGCCTGGGCAATATAGTAAAACCTCATATTAAAGAAAAAAAAAAGTATTTGCAAGAACTTATAAAATTAAACAGGGAAAAAATTAAATTAAATATAGCATAACACAAAATACATATCAAACATATATACTAGGAAAAATAACTTTTAATTACTTTGGCTATGATAAAAAGAGCAGCGATGCTTTGCTAGTTCTCCTGTGGGTATGGAAGCTATGCCTATTATTCAAGGAGGTGTTTTCATGCATAAGGGACAAGAAAAAGTCCCCAGGAAGGGGAAGTTAACTTGTCCATTGAAATATCTCTCTCGAATATAAGATTTCTCAAGGGAGAAATTGCAGTTTATTCCTGCCTTAGGTGTCTGATAAGTGCCTGAACTGCCTTTTCCCACTATAGTTGATTTTCAAAGGGTGTACTTGGATCACACATAGAAACACAAGAGGCAAAATGATAAGTTTTATCAACTTAGAATTTCACCCAGGTAGAGAATGAGCATGCAGAATTGGGATGACTTACACATAGGGATAATATTTTCCTAAAAAAGGGCTTGAAAGCTCCAACAATTCAGTGAAAATGATAAATGTCTGTGATATATTGACATGCATACAACAATCAATCACACAGTCCTACATTCACAGGCATGTACACTGACACCTAGCCACATAGTGATGTTCCCTGTCCCCAAGCTCATATTCACATGCTCACATCATTATCATGTAAAGCATTTGTCACTATAGTGTGACCTCATATCTGATGTTGAACATCTCAGTATTTTGATGGGCCTCTCTTAGGATGAATTCTCAAGAAAACACCCCAAGAAGCTAAATATGTTATTTTTATTTAAAGATTGAAGAATGTCTTCTACATACAACAAATACAATTTGAATTGATCCTCCGTTGTTCTACTAACAGTCAGTCATCAGGATTTATTGTTTTTGGAGATGATTATCAGTAAGACCTAAAAACTCTATCAATAGATAGCATAAGGAATGCTTGTCTCCCTGTATGCAAAAGATTGAAGCAAAGCTCTGCTTATTCCTAAACAAATCCAAATCACTTATATATATGTTAAAAAAAAAATTCTACCCTCAGGCTGGGGTGGTGGCTCAGTGGTAGCGTGCTTACCTCACATGTGTGAGGCACTGGGTTTGAGTCTCAGCACTGCATATAAATAATGAATAAAATAAAGGTCCATCAACAACCAAAAAAAATTAAAAAAAACCCACTGCCCTCTTTTGGGCCATTTAGAGTTAATATTTAGTTAGTCATAAGATTACATGATGCCTCACATCCCTGGGTTACCAGTAGAATCCCCAAAATTTGGATCTTCTTTAGGTATCATGACTCTCACCTTTTCGCCTGTAATCCCATCCATTATCCTACTTCTTTTTCACCACTTAAGTCTTTCCATTTTGCCCACTGGAATTTGTAGTCTATCACTAGCAAAATGGTTAGATCTAACGTTCTTCACAGTCCTTCCACTTTCTTGTTCTAAAGAAAGCCTGCTGTCTCCCTGTGACTCTCTTTCCAAGAGGTGGTTGTTTTTCTCCCACACCTTGTGTATGGCTGGGCTTGAAATGTATGTGTCCTTCTCGTGCTTTTTACCCCTTTCAGATCCAACTATCTCCTCTGAAAGCCATCTAGCTCTCCTAAAAAGCTGTGATATCCTAACATCGGATTCCCAAACCTCCTTGTTGAAGGTATCAATTGACTTGCACACCACCACTCCCATCATTCCTTGACAATTTTAGTTTTAGGTTCTCTTTCATTTTTTTCTAAAACTCTCTGCCACTTTACTAGTTATTTTCATATCCACACACAGTCTTCCCAATAATCTTCCACTTTCTTGACCTCTTCTCTTCCAGATCTTACCTGTCTCCTCCACCCTAGAGTCAGACCAATCAGTACACACTTTTCTAATTCCCCATTCTGAGCATCCCTCTCCTCATAACTACCCCCATATTTTAAATTCACTCCATGTAATATACTATCCCCAAACAGCCTGAACCCCACTGGACTCTTCAGAATCTTGACTCCCCCAATGGTTTCATGGACAGTCTCCATTTTCACCTCTTCACTTCCTTCCTCACCATGATGTTTCCTTTGCATACACGCTGGACATTTTTGTTCCTCTCATTCTTTGTTGTATAATCAAAAATATTTTCATTTACCCTCTGCCTTTCCTATTGCGCTGTTTGGAGGAAATCATTCAAAAAATACTGGCTTGGCTAATTTTAAATTCATAAGCACAAATCCCTGGTGGTGTCCCCATACAATCCTATTATATTTTACGTGTTTATTTTCTCAGATGTATTGTTTTTTTCTCCCAGTCTTCAAGACTATTCACTCACATTTCCTGATCTCATCTCAAACTTTTTCTTCTTCATGCTCAGCTGATTACCTTGATTTTTATTGCAGAAAAAGGATTCTAGTATTTCAGAAAAAGGATTCTAGAAAAAGATTCTAGTATTTTTACATAACTAAGACTACATATTTACTTGCCTTTACCAACATGGACTATCTTCCCTTCTATTACAGAGTAAAATGGTGTTCTTGTTCATATTTCCTTCTTCTTTCTTCTGTAAAAGTTCTCTTTCCTGTGTTATCAGCTTCCTTCTCCTCTATCTGGTAAATGTCATCAGCATGCAATCATGTTATTATATCTAGCTTTAAACATAAACAGAACTCTTGGTGTCACAGCCTTGCTGTCTACCACATCTTTTTTCTGCTTTTTTTTTTTTTTTAATAACACTGCTCTTAAAAGAGTTTTCTCTACTGGCTAAGTACATTTTCCTTTCTTGCATTTTCTCTTGATGCTTTTTAAAACAGCCTTTAATCCTCCTATTTTCATAAACTATTTTTGTTAAGGCTATCAGTTACCAGCACATCATGAAATACAAGGGTCACTTCCTAGTCCCTAACTCTGTGATTTCTCAGCAGCCCTGGACACAGTAGCTCACACACTCCTTCTTAATACTTTCTTCATCTGGCTTCTGGGTCATGGCCCTCTCTTAGTGTTTCTAATGCCCCATAAAACTTCTTTCTCAGTTTCCTTCACTGGTTTCTCTTCCTGTTCTTAATCTCTGAAGTTAGAATGCCTGGGTCTTGGTGTTAGGATCTTTTTTCTTTCTGAGTTCAAATAGAAAGATCTCAGCACTGTCATAGTTTTAAATATCATCTGTATGTTCCTGCTTCCAAAAAATATGCCTCTGATTCCAGTGTTTTATTATTTTCTCTATGTCAGATTATATATGCAATGCTATCACTAGATATCTCACGGGTTTCTCAGATTTATAGAGATAGAACAGGTCCTTGCTTCTCCACTTCCTCCAACCTGTTCCTCTCTTGTAAGGGTTCTGACAGTGGAAATGTACAAGACAGTGAATTTCCTCTGGTGAGAAAACTTTCAAGGAATAATAAAATAATAAGGCATTTTCTTTCCCACAATTGGAATATTCTGCAGTTTTTTCCAGGAACTAGTAAGATAACTAATACATGTGCAATGCCTAGTGCTATATCAATGCCCTGCATGAGGAGGCTCTGTGCTAGAGTCTTATGAGCCTCAACCTTGATCTCAGGCACAGAGCTCCTTGGAATAAAGAAACTCTCTTGTTAGACAACCACAATGCTTCACCAAGTTCTGCGGCACCTGAAGGTGTCCACATAATAGTAGCTTTAAACGATGGACTTTCTTGAGAGCTACACAAAGCTCCTAACATGTGCACATTGAAACTATAGTATGTAACTGAGGAATAAGCTGCATAATGTTGCTAACTCTATAACCTGCCTAAAGACATAATGAACAATAATGTACTACTAATGCCAGTGGCCTAATGTAA